GCCTGTCCTATTACGGGCGACACATGATCAATAGGTTGATAACGTAGCAACATCAATATAAGCGACAGAACAATGAGGGATATCATTGGGCATCTATCTTAATATAGCCGGCTACAAGAGCGCGACAAAGAGTGCAGCTCATGAAAATTCCGCCCCACGATTCCCCATCTCCGCTCCAATATGCGCACGCACTCCCCCAGCTGCTGGCGCCATTACGCTCCGATTTCAATTTGACACCCCAGCCTTTCATGCTAATTCTATTATTGTAGGAAGTTTATGTGATTTCATATCACAAGAAATCGGTAATGTATAATAACCCTTTGGGCAAGAAACCCAGTCCCCGCAGCAACCACCGGAAAATAATTACTTTCATATCAAAACTCTGCAGGAGCCCAGCGGCCCGGCCCTCGCAGCCCCCGGCTCCGTCACCCCGGCGTGTGCCAGTGCGCGCAATGGAGAGGGGGTGCGCGCGGGGGGGCGCGCAATGGAGAGGCAGGAGGGGTGCAATGGGGAGGGTTGTGCGCGGGGGTGCGCGCAATGGAGAGGCGGGGGGGGCGGTTGCGCGCGCGCCCTTGCGGGGGTGCAGAAGGGGGGAGCGCGGGGGAGAGTCGGGGAAGGGGGAGCTGCGGATGCATAAATTTGTTCAATCAGAAAACACAAACACACAAGCACACAAAAGGAAGCATTAAGCGCAGACCTGGGTGGGGGGAGAGTGAGGGGGGGACATGGACGGGAGGAGGAACGGCCGGGTGGGGCCGCTGGGCAATCTGAAAACCATGGACCCCCAGAGTTTGCGTTTGACCAGCTTTATTTATCAAAAATGGTACATATATAAATATTCTTAGAATTTTTGCATTTTACAAGGCTGAGGATTCTTGTTGTGGGTTTGTGTGGTGCTGGGGAGCTGGGGGGTCTTTTTCTCCCTCGGAGGAAGAAGAAGGAGAAGGAGGAAGAGGAAGAGGAGGAGAGGGGGGTCTCACCCCAAGACCTGCGGTGGCTGCCTAGGTCCGAATCATAACAGCGTTTGTGTTTGCCTTAAAAAAATAATAATAAAGGAAGAAAACAAGAGGGAGGGGAGCAGTGTGTCTAGAGCCGATCACCTGATTCGCTGCGGGAGTCGGGCCTGAGCGCGCGGGGCCGGGTGCCTGTCCCTCAGTCCATGTCCAGCTCCTCGCCCTCGGCCGGGCCGGGTCCGGCCTCTGCGCCCGGCGGCTCCGCAGTGGCTCCGCAGGTGGCCGTGTCCCCCTCGGGGCTAGGAGCCCGCGGGCCTGGCGAAGTCGCGAGCGGCTGGGGTGGCGGGGCCGCGGGGCAGGCGCTCCCCACGTCCCCCGCGCGGTCCCCCGCTGCGCCCTCGGCGAGGTCCCGGAAAGGCGCGGGCCCCGGGGTCCCCGGGGAGGCGACGGCGGCGGTGGCGTCGGGGCTGCGGTGCGCGAAGGCCGGGTCCGGGGCGCCGCCGGGTGCTGGGAAGGCCCCGAAGCTGGCGTGCGCGGGGGGCGCGGGGGGCGCAGGCGGCGCAGGGGGCGCGTCCTTGGGCATCAGCTCGGGGCCCGCACCGCCCTTGAGCGCGGCCTGCGGCACCAGGAAGCCAAGCGGCTGCGTGATCGGGTACAGCAAGAAGTGGCCCTTGCCCACCAGGGTCCGCGGCGCGCACGGCAACCCGGGCGCAAAGTCCAGCCCCGCAGCGGCCGCGGCGTTGGCCGGGGTGGCTTTCCTGCGCGGCGGCGAGTCGGACAGCAGGCTCTCCACGCTAAATGGGCTGGCCTTGGGCAGGCCCGCCGCTGCTGTGGCTGTCGCTGTCGCCGCCGCCACCACCACCCCGGGCACGTCCTTGTCGCCAGGCCGGCCTAGCCGCGGCTGCGGGCCGGCGCCGCTTCTTTGGCTCGGGTAGAAGGCGGGGTCGCAGGTGCCGGGCACGGGCGGCTCGCCGGGCGCTGCGGGGCCCTTGGCCGCAGTGGCCGGTGGCGGTGGCGGCTCGGGTGGCTCTGGGGACAGGCCGCCGCCGCCACTGTCGCTGTCGGAGCTGGGAGCGCTGTGCAGGGAGAGGCCGCCGGGCGAGTGCAGGTGGCGGCTCTGGCTTTTGAGCAGCTTTTTCTCGTGCTTGCGTTTCTTCTTCTCCATCTTCTCCAGCTCCTTGCGCGCGATCTCCTCGGGGTCCATGGGCTCCCCGCTGCACGTGGTCGGGTGCGAGTTGTGCGCTGGCCGCCCGGGGCCTTTCTTGGTGTTCTCCTTCTTCCTCCACTTTGCCCGGCGGTTTTGGAACCAAACCTAGAGCAGCCGGGACAGGGGAGAGGAAGGGACAATCAGGCGCGGGAGCTGCGGGCCTCCCATGTCCCCCAGCCAGGCCTCCGCGCCACCTCGGCTCTGTCCCTCCGGGGCTGGATGGCGACCCTCGGGTTGCAGGTTACAGCGGGCAGCGTCCGCCCACAAGGCGCGCAGACCGGGCCTCCCAGGGCAGCTTCCCACTCGGGCTTCTCACCTCGGGCCCCTTGGGAGCCGCCCATCGTCAGGCCAGGCCGGTGGGGCCCCGCGACCCAGGGCGTCCATTCCGGGTCAGGAGGCAGAGCAGGGCCCCTCCTCGCCCCTTTTCTGGTTTCCTTCTTAGGGCTCCAGCTCTAAGCAGCCTGTCCGGCCTGGCGATGACCGTCCTGCGCTGGGCCCGTCCACACCTGTCTTCGGCCCCCCCTGGGGACCTTGTCAAAGCCCAGATTTCGAAGTCTCCCATGAAGGGAAATCTGGCCACGTCTTCGTCAGGAAGGGCCTGTGGAGTCCAACTTGGTAGGCCTCCTGCAGCCTCCCTCCCCAGCACAGCTACCCCTCCTCTTTCCTGTGAGCTCTGGACCGGGGACCCAGCGCCTTCCGGAACCAGGGTTGGCAAGCAAGGCGAGAGGCTGGCCACCAGGCCCCGGAAGGAGGATCGGGGGCCCATCTCGGTTCTTTCCTGAACTCTGCAGGCCTTGTCCTGAGGAGCTATGCAGGACTCCAGAGGGACAGCAGCCCTGTACCCTTGCTGCACCTCCAAGCGCCACACACCCGAGTCCAATCTCGGGGCCTTGGGCAGGGATTCCCTTCCCCAGAGAGCGGGACAATTCAAATTCTTTGTTGTGACCATGGCACAATAGCGCACCCAGCCTGTTCCCTGGGAGTCCTGGGTGCAGAATTTTGGCACTGATTTGAGACCCCCTGAAGGCTCAAATGAAGGCAGAACCTGACTGCCTTTCCCCCCCCGCCTTTTTTTTAAAAACTACTTTTTTGGCGTGAATTCCAGGCTGCCCTGCCACCGAGAATTACTCATTACCGTGTTAGGGGAAATGGCCGGGTCTGGACTTCACTTAAGACACTTAGAACAAATTGGATAAAAGGATTTCCAGACAGAGCAGGTCGGGCACAGGACCACGGCTCCTTTGGAGGCCGGATATTGGTGCTAACAGGCATTTTGCCAGCGTCTGTCGCCAAGCCGGACACCCACAGCTGCGCACCGCACCCACCGCGCACCAACCCCCCCAAAAGAGGTTTCTGTACCCCGGAAAACACCTAATTATGCGCAGATCATTGAAATTGTAACGCACCAAACTGACGCTGTTTTTTAAAAAAGAAAGCGGCGATCCAGCTTCGAATGAAATCAAATAACGAGCTGAGAGGCGAGGAAAAAGATACAGCCGGGGACATTTTTCTGCTTCCCACTTCGCGACCTTGTTAACCGTGTCATTTCCCCGGCCCTTGCTCAGCGACGCACACATCTGAACATGTCACCCGGCCGCTCCAGAGAGCGACAGGGCCTGGTCCCCTCCAGTTCCCGCCTGGCCGATTGCTTTTCGCACGGCCGCGGCGAACCACAAGCCGTTCCCGGCTCGGACGCAGACGCTGTCCTGGCTACGTCGCCAGCGTCCCCAGGCCACCCCGGCCTGGGCGGATTATTCACCTCCAACTCCGCCAGGGGACTCAGTCTTATGGTACCCGGGGTTGCGGGGCGAACCACTGCGGCTGGAGGCGGAGCCGGAGCCAGGGATCGCGTCCCGCCACCACCCAGAACAAAGGCGCGCGCTGCGCTCTGCAAGCCGAGTGCGGGACAGCGGCCCCGCGGAGGGACAGACAGACGAACGGACTGACGGACAGGCTCGCGCAGCTCCTTTACCTGCACGCGGGACTCCACCAGGTCCAGGCGCAGCGCCAGCGCCTCGCGCATGAACACGTCGGGGTAGTGGCTCTCGTTGAACGCCTTCTCCAACTCTTCCAGCTGCCAGCCAGTGAAGTTGGTGCGGGTGCGTCGCCGCTTGCAGCCGGGGCTTTCCTTGTCGGGGTCCCCCGAGTCTGCGGGGCACGCACAGGACGCCGCGGGGCTCAGCCACCAGCCCCATCCACCCATCCATCCATCTATCCATCCGTCCATGCATCACCCACCCACCCATCCGTCCATCCATCCATCCGCCCATGCGTCCACCCATCCGCGCGCGCGGGGCCGGGGCGCACGGAGACCGGAGCCCGTGCGCGCTCACGCCTTGTCCCCCACCCCGCCAGCCAAGCCGAGCGCCGGCCTCTGCACCCCAAACCCCTTTCCCCGGGCCGCCCAGCCTACCTGATAGCTTAAAGGGCTGGCTGTCGCCCCCGACTCCGCAGGCGGCGGGCAGCAGCGGCGTGGGGTTGACCACGGAGGCGGCGGCCGCGGCGCACGAGCCGCTGAGCAGCCCGTCGATGGAGAAGGGCACCGAGGCGGCGGCGGCCGACTGCAGCTGGTGGCCGGCCAGCTCGTACACGTGGTGGTGGCCCAGCGGGTAGGGGAAGCCCACCACGCCGCCCAGCGAGCCCCCGAACTGGGCATGCGGGTGCTCCAGGAGGCGGCCGTCCATCATCTCCTCGCGCGGGGGGCCGGCGGGGCGCGGGGGCGCGGGCCGGGGCCGGGGCGGGCCAGCGGCGGGAGGCGACGGCGACGGCGACAGGGACCCGGAGCCTCACTCATGCTTCGCCCGCGCTCGGCGCTTTACTTTATCAACATCAAGCCTCCGGTAATTAGCCGCGGCCCGGGGAATTTGGGGCCAATAAGAAGCGCTAATCGGCGGTGACGTCACAGGCGTGCGGGCGCAAGGACACGCTCCCCGTATCGATTGCTAATTACGCCTGACACGCACCTCAATAAACAGCATCGCGAGCTGTCACAACACGACGCGGGGGGGCGGGGGCGGGGTCCCCGCGCGGGGCCCGAGGCTCCCGGGGGTGGGGGCGGGGCGCCCCCCGCGAGCCCCCCACTTCCTGCGCCCCCCGCCCCCCCGCCACCCACTAATAGATTTCCCTCTAAAACGTCCGCCGGCGCGGTGCGGGGTTTTCACCAGCAACGCCGCACGCCCTGAACCTTTAAAGCGATGTCGTTCCAATTACAGGGAGACATTGAGCGGCAAATAGACGGCCCAGTAATGGGGGATTCATCACCCGCTCCTTCCGAAACTGTCACATCGCATTGGAAAGTACAAGGCTCCCCGCCTCCTCCCGGCTGCAGGCGGCCAGGGGAGGACGCGCGGGCGGGGAGGAGGATCAGGGGACAGGAGGACGGGAGGACAGGGGGACAGGGGGACAGGGGAGAGGAAGAGGAGGAAGAGGAAGAGGAGGAGGAGGAGGAGGGACGAGATGAGGGTGGGGAAGAGGGGATAGGAGGACAGGGGAGGACAGGAAGATAGGGGGACAGGAGGGCGGGAGGACAGGAGGATGGGGGACAGGAAGGCAGGAGGACAGGGGAGAGGAAGAGGAGGAGGGACAGGACAGGGGACAGGGGACAGGGGTGGGGGGAGGAGGAGGAGGACCAAGGAGGGGGAGGAGGGCACTTCCACAAAAGTGGGGTCCACTTTCCCCCATCCCTACAAAGACATACTTAGCGCCCTCTGCCACCCCATGGATAAAAACAAGAGTGGGGGCACTTGAGGGGGCACCCTGACCCCATCTTACCCTCACACCATAAAAAAAACCCCATCCCAGGGCAGAAGAGGGGTGTAAAGGAGGAAGGAAAAAGTAACTTTGGGAAGGTAGCCAGCCAGGCCCACTAAGCACATGAATAAAAAACACAAACAAAAAAACCACAAATTCATCTCCCTTTGACTCGGGGTCTGAAGAATGGGGCTGAGGTGCCCAACACATTTATTATAATTAAATTATGTTCTCAGTGACGTGTCACTCCCTTCTCCACTACAAAATATTGATAGGCTCAAAGCAAAATCATGAAAGGACATATTACATAAGCAGGTAATTAGGACTGTGGGCAGAGGGGGAAGAAATTTGGATACATATGTGTGGATATGTATATATGTCTGTATCCTTCATTAAAAAAAAAAGTTTGTCAAGGGTTGGTGGCTTTTTGCTGGGCCCTAGCGTGTTGACCTGGCTGACTGAGTCCCTCAGCGGTGCCCCAGCCAGGCCCGGCCCAGGAGGGAGGAACCCTGCCCCGGGGGCCTCCTGACCGTGGCCAGTCCCCAGCCCCACTGCCTGGAGCGTCACGCCCCAGGGCAAAGCGACAAATTGGCTTTTGGTGTAAGTGTCTTAGGCCAGGCCGCCAAAGCCCTGAGAGGGGGCGAAAGCAGAAAGGCAGGCCAGAATTTTGCTCCTCTGTGCAGTTTGTCCCTGCCCACGTGTGTCCCCTTGGGGAAGGGTGCCCAGAGACGCTGGACTGGACGGAGTAAGGGATCAAGGCCGCCCACCCGAACCAGCTTAACCCAACAAAACTGGAATCCCAGGCGACTGGACTGAACGGGACTGGACCTCAGCCTTGGGCCCTAACCAAAAGTCACTTGACTGGGGCGCTGGGTCGCACCAGCTTGGACTTCATTCGCGTCCTGGTTCTCTGTCCTGGTGGAGAGGAGGGAAGGGTGCGGCGGCGCTGGGGACAGCAGGCCTGAAACACTGGGGAGACTTTGGAGGCGGCCTTGGAAGGTAGGGGACCTCCTTGTCCTGGTTTGCAATGGCACTGGGAGGACGCTGTTAAGTGTTAAATCCGAGGTCAGGGGCCAAGAGCACTACTTTTCGCCGTAATTTAATTTCTTTGCCTATAAATACTAAACGTAAACTCTGTCCATCCGGCTCGATTCTGCCCGTAGCCAGGAGCGCCAGGTTTTGCAGCCGAGCTCGCGAGCAGGAATGCGCGCTGCGCGTGCGGCGGAATACAGAGCTGTGATCAAGGCGGCCTAGGGGCGGGCAGGGAGGGGGGACAGGCTGGCCCGGCTCCGCGCCCACCTCTCTTTATTATAATGAATTAATTCGACTTTATTTATCCCATTTTCTGGAGCTGACAGAATGTTAATTTGAGTTGAAATTTCGCTCGCCTCTCACTCTCTGACCCCTGGCCTTCAGAATGGCGTGTTGTAATAACCTGAATCTTTCAACAGAGGCCCTGATAATTGTTACCTTATTAGCATGCAAATTGTTTAATTAATATTATTATGAAGAAGCGTACAATCCGTCCGTCACTTGACCTCAAGTGTGAGTCCGCGCGCGCAGGCGGCTCCACGCGGCTCCATCCACACG